AAATGTTTTTCTTGTGCATACATCTGCTATCTGCAACATCTGATGTTTATCATAAGGTTAGCTACACTCCACACTTGTTCCCATCATGAAGCAGTCACGTTGTCATAACACAAGTTCATAATGACTTCTGTTTAATTTCTGTGTTCATACAAACAGCACAAGACAAAGAGCCACAAGTAAATGTGAAAATGTGTTCACAGACATTTTGTATTGCTGGTAAAGATAAGATGTCATTCTGTTTTGATAAGGAATCATTTTTCTTCCTGTGGAAAGTAGATGTGATTTATCTATTTAGTTGAATTTCGACTGATGTAAATCACTGTCAGTGTGAACAACCCAAACTACCAAAACTGAGAATCATGTATATGAGCTGACAGTTAAGAGAACTGATTGAAGAGAGAGGAAGGAGACATGTCAGACACACACAGGCTGCTGTACCTTTCCAGCATCAACCATTTCGCTAATCTCGTCCAGCGTAGGGCCGCTTGGAGCAAAGAAACCCCAGCGATAGTGCACTCCTTTCCTGAGGTGCTGAGAAAGAGAGAGAGTCAGTACTCAATAGACTTCTAGCTCCACATCTCCAGCTTGACAAAACAATGAAACAGTGTCAGGCGATCAGGTTAAGGTTCCCGACCCTTCTTTTCTTTTCTTCCATTCTACCTTCGTCCATTCTGGATCAGTATATACACTCATTAAATCCCTTATTCTGTCCCCATGCCACAGGACAGGGTGGTGTAAAGCTGTGAAAAGGGTGGGTCATGGCTGTGAAAAGAAAGTGTTTGACTGGGTCATCAGCAGCTGCAGTGAGATCACTGCTCATGACTTTATGTGAAATTGTGTGCCATGAGAGTAACTGAAAGGAATTCAGAATCTAATTCAAATGTGGAAAGTTTCAGGATTTTGCTAAATATTTAACAAAATAGAAGCATTTACATCATAAATACATGTGCAAAATGTAAATGTTTGTTCTGTACTAGCTACTATGAATAGAAGGCATTTGTGTGTCAATTTAATGTCAGAAAAAAAGGAACCAGTGTGGATTTCCTGCTAAAACATCAACAATTGCCACGAAGAGTGTTCTGACAAACCACCAAAAAAAGAGAAAAACTCATCTTTACACTGCAGTGCACAAAGAGGGGTCAGTAAGTTTAGGATCAGTACAATTTTTTATTTATTTTTATTTTGTTTAAAGAATAATTTTATTCAGCAGGGATGCATTAAATTGATCAAAGGAAACTATAAAGACATGTATAATGTTACAAGAAAAATTCTACTTCAAACCAATGCTGTTCTTCTGAACTTTCATCAAAAAATCTTAAAAAAAAAAAAATGTATCACGGTTTCCACAAAAATATTAAGCAGCACCATCAACAATTGCCACGAAGAGTGTTCTGACAAACCACCAAAAAATGAGAAAAACTCATCTTTACACTGCAGTGCACAAAGAGGGGTCAGTAAGTTTAGGATCAGTACAATTTTTTATTTATTTATTTTTTTTTTAAAGAATAATTTTATTCAGCAGGGATGCATTAAATTGATCAAAGGAAACTATAAAGACATGTATAATGTTACAAGAAAAATTCTACTTCAAACCAATGCTGTTCTTCTGAACTTTCATCAAAAAATCAAAAAAAAAAAAAATTGTATCACGGTTTCCACAAAAATATTAAGCAGCACAACTGTTTTCAACATTGATACTAATAAGAAATGTTTCTTGAGCACCAAATCAGCAAATTACAATAGTATCTGAAGGCTCATGTAACTCTAACAACTGGAGTAATGGCTGCGGAAATTTCAGCTTTGCCATCACAAGAATAAATGACATTTTAAAATATTTTTAAATAGAAAATGATTAATTGTAATAATATTTCACAGTATTACTGTTTTTACTTTACTTTTGATCAAATACATGCAGCCTTGCTGAGCATTAGCAACATTAAAAAATCATACAAACCCCAAACTTTTGAACGGTATATTGTATAAACTCAGTGTCATCCCTATTTTCAACCGCTTCTTGGGTCTGGCTTCTGATAGTCAAACAGTAAAGAAAAAACTGGTTGAGGATGGGAGGAACTCCTTCATTTTCTTTTATGTTATTTTTGGTTTCTTTTTCCTGCAGCCTCCTGATATTTTTAAGAGAATCACTTAAGTGATTCATACATGCTGCTAATTCACCCACACATACATCATTATGTAAGGTCGTGGTTATAAACAGATGAACCATAAATATAAGAGGAGTTCCAGTCTCTGAGGCAAAAGAAACTAATTTTCATTTTCTCAGCACACAGAAGGGAAGTCCCTACCTTCAGCACTTTGCATCCTATGGTGACTCCAGACTGCATCATTCCATCTGCGAGGCCCAGTAGGTCTGTGTTATGCAGGAATGGTGTTACTAGAGTAACATATTTAGCACCATTCCAGGGTTTCAGAAGATCTAGTGCCCATTTCTCACTTTCACCCCCAATATTATCTAAAATCAAATCAAACCTGAAAGAGAGAGAGAGAGAGAGAGTGAAAGGGGACGAAATAAACTCAATGTAAATCACAAGTTCCAAAAAAAAAGTCAAACTGCCCAAACACTAACTTTTGTAATGTCTGTAGTTTGTTTTCGACCGGTCCAGCAGTGTAGTCCACAACATCATCAGCACCCAGATCTCTCACCAGCTGCTCGGCATTCTGGGAACATGTTACAGTCACATGGACGCCCCAGGCCTTTACCATCTGTAGGGAAGCAAAAACCTAGATTAAAACTGAATCAAAATGTCACATATAGAGGTATTACACACAGATGATTATGTTTTATTACTCATTGAGGAGATGAAATACAAGAGGTAATTTGCAAAATGGAAAATGCATCACCTGTATAGCTAAGGTTCCCACTCCTCCTGATCCTCCCAGGACAAGAACACTGCATAAGGAAAGGATAGATCTATTACAGCCAGTCTTAATCAACTCCACATCTATATATGATGATTCATCCAAACCACTAAAAATAAAGTAAGATTGATTTAAAATCATCCTTGTTTTGTTCAAGTGTTGCTGAGATCACTATGTAGCAAGCAAAGCGGAACTTCCTGCATAAAATTGTATGATTGTCTTTAAATAAGAAGAATCTGCTACATAACGTAGCACATTTGTAAAATAAATGCTTCAATCTGGTAGTTAATGTTATTTGTAATTATTTTGAGATGCCTAATCTAATTTTGGTACATGCTAATTCAGTTGATAAAACAAGAGATAGAACAAGACTAAATAAAAAGCAGAGAGGAACAACAAGTATTTTTAGTTTAAAGCGGCCATAAGATATATTTTTATTATTTTTTCCACTTATAATGACATAAACCTCCCTTTCTCTGTTACTTAGGATTAAGTTGATCGCATTTCAAACATTTAAGAATGTGAAATTAAATATAGGAGTTAGGAATAATAGTATCAAATCAATGCTGCGGAGGAATTTTTTTTCCAGCTTGATTCAATGCGATATGACCCTTTAAACTGGATGAACTAAACACCTGAACTGCACCTACTCGATTCAACAGGAACAACAGACAATGTGGTATAATCACTGAAATACTTGCAAATTAGTACTTGCCGTTTCTTAGAAGAGTTGTCTTTGTTCAGGCCACCAGTATTGACGATGGCGGACCAGGCTGTTGCAGCCACATACGGGATGGATGCAGCTTCAACATGCCTCAGTGATTTGGGCTTATGCGACACCTGAATCACAGACATTAACAATGAACTTCTAGACGTAGAGGCAATGAAATGGCGTTAAGGGCAACAGCTGTATTGTGCTCTTAATCTATATATGTGAATGATCCATGCGTTAAATGTTTTATCTGTTTATCCTACAAAACATGAGTCCGAATATTACCTCATTAGCACTGAGAACTACAAACTCTGCCAGGCTGCCCTGCTTCCACGGAGGGATAGCGGCCCACACCTGAAAAACAAGCAGACACTGGCCTCAATAACTGATGTCTTATGGTTTAGGGTTATTAGTGTCCATTATATATATATATGCAGTTACAATATTATATGAAATAATAGCTGAATATGGCACCTGATCTCCTGGTTTAAAGTAGTTCACATCTAGCCCACATTCCATGATCTCTCCGGATACATCTCGCCCCAGGATTAGAGGAAACTCACTGCCTGACTGCTTCATGTTCAGTGGGTCACGTTTCATGGCCATAGTAGCTGCTCCATAACCACCTACCACAAACATCAAAGAAAGACTTAAGTATACTATAAAATCTTACCATAAATGTTTTAATATATTCACTGTACATTTAAAAAAAAAAAAAAAACATGCTCTTTTTTAAGCATTTATGGCATTAAATGCGCATGTCTTCTAAAACACTTCAGGATGAAGTTTAGGACTTTCAAGAAAACTTGGTTCTGATTGGTTAATATATGATTATATTGTATATTGTTCAACAGATGAAAAAAAGAAATAAAATATAACAAAAATTATTTAAAAAAATAACATTTAAATGAAATTTAAAAATATATAAAAAATCGAAATAGTATATAAATAAGCTTCATTAATGACAGTTCATAATGACTAGGCAAATTATGATTGCATGACAGTTCATACATTTTCTTTATGGAATATGGCCATATGTCACTCACTGTCATAGAAAAGTTTTTTAACCATGTAAGATTCATACATTCGTTCTTTTTTAAAATGCCACAAGAGAAATGAAACATATAAACACAGTGATATCAGTGATGTGGGCTGAACGCCTGTCAAATACCCCTCATACTGATGTCGATGGGGTTTAAACCCGCAGCGTGCACCTTCACGGTCACTTCATTGGGATACTGGATGATCGGAAGCGCCGCGTTCTTGGTGAACCTCAACACCTCGTTTTTCCCATATCTGTCGATGACCCATGCGGGCATTACATTCCTGAGGGAGGCTGAGAAACTGAAGCTCCTATAATGAGCCCTCATCGAGCACACCAACCACCTTCTACACATAAGCATGACTGATCAGTCTAAAACAATCCAAAGCTCTTCTCCTGAGAATCTCTCACGGGGGCATAAACCCGTCATTGATTATAAATAAAACTTATAACTGCTTTATAACACCGAAGTTCAGCGAAAACCCATCTCGTGTCTTGCAAAGTCAAAACAAACCCGTGAACTTTCACACGACAGACTAAACCAATCACATGCCGCAGAGCCCTTCGATTGACCAATCAGAAAGCAGAGATGACAGGACGTCAACGAGGTCAACGGGAAGTGTCATGTCAGCCTCCAGTGCGGCGTTTCGTCCGGCGGCAGCGATGCTCGGTCTGTCCATTAGAGAGGTCTGTTCTTATCTTAACTTGAAGTAACTTAACAGCTTACTCGTAACCAAAAATTAAACTAAAGATTCACCGCATTGTTTTTCTTGGCACCGTGTTACATAATGTTAAAAACATCCTCTAAATTCAATCAATAAGCCTGGATGAACAGTAAGACCAGCTTAAAGGTTTAAGCTGTTTTTTAGCAGGCTGTAATGATTTTTTTGTTTGTTTAATATCTAGACACATGGTTTTTTATATATCAACCTACTAAAATGACAAAACACTCTGTTTAAAAAAATCAAATGTCATCTGCCTACTACAGGTGTCCCAGGCACTGAGGGATGGGAGGGTGTCCGCCACTGAGCTCTGCAAAAAGTGCATCGACCAAATACAAAGAACACATTACCTGAATGCATTTATCACCATTACAGGGGAGACGGCTATGGAGCAAGCACAGAAAGCAGACAACAGGATCTGCACAGGTGCGTGTGCGTGTGCGTGTGTGTGTGTGTCTGTCTCACGTAAAGTGTATATATCTTTAATGGCTGAATAAAATACATGTGCTCCATGTACTTTCTTGTAAGGTAAACCTCTTGGTCCTCTGGATGGCATTCCCTTCTCTGTGAAAGACAACTTCTGCACGGAGAACATAGAGACCACCTGTGCTTCAAACATGCTTAAAGGTCAGCTAAAGTACATTAACACAAGACTGAAACATAGAAACCATTGCTGTGTCAGGGATGATTTGTGAACGTCATATTTCGTCTTTTTGCATTTGTAGGTTATGTTCCTCCATTCAGTGCTACAGTTGTGCAGAAGCTGTTGGATCAAGGAGCAGTTCTTGTTGGAAAAACTAATTTAGATGAGTTTGCAATGGGGTAAGACTCACACACATACTTTTTAAAGGTTCAGGGCCAGTAAAAGAAGTACACTTTTATTCAGCAAGGATGATCAAAGGTGGCTGTAAAGGAATTTATAGTGTTTAAAACATATATATTTCAGTTCTTTTGAACTTTCACTATTCATCAAAGGCCCCTGAAAAATGTATCACAATTTTGACAAAATATTAAACAGAACAACTGTTTTCAATATTGATAACAGTAGGAAATGTTTATTGAGCACCAAATCAGCATATACAGGTGCATCTCAATAAATTAGTAGAAAAGTTCATTAAAAGGAGCCCCTACCAAGTATTGAGTACATGTACAGTAAATGAACATACTTTCCAGAAGGCCAACAATTCACTAAAAATGTTTTTTTATTGGTCTAAAAAAATGTTTTTTTATTGGTCTTATGAAGTATTCTAATTTGTTGAGATAGTGAATTGGTGGGTTTTTGTTAAATGTGAGCCAAAATCATCACAATTAAAAGAAGCAAAGACTTAAACTACTTCAGTCTGTGTGCATTGAATTTATTTAATACACGAGTTTCACAATTTGAGTTGAATTACTGAAATAAATGAACTTTTCCATGACATTCTAATTTATTGAGATGCACCTGTAGAATTATTTCGGAAAGATCATGTGACATTGAAGCTTCAATGTCACATGCTGAAAATTCAACTTTTCATTCACAGAAATGCATTACATTTTAAAATATATTCAGTTTGAAAACGGTTATTTATTTTAAATTGTAATAATATTCCACAGTATTACTGTTTTTACTGTATTTTTGATCAAATAAATGCAGCCTTGGTGTGCATAACAGACTTCTTTAAAAAGATTTAAAAAAATGTACCAACCCCGAACGTTTAATCTGTAGTGCAAATAATTTATAAAAACCAATAGATTATGCTAATGTCTGCACATCTTTCTTAAGAGCTGGAAGTACAGATGGGGTGTTTGGTCCAGTTCGTAACCCATGGAGCTACACAACCCTATACCGTGAGCAGAGCACAGAAGATCCAGATTCTGACTGGGCAATTGCAGGAGGAAGTTCAGGAGGTAGTGCTGCAGCAGTGGCATCTCTCAGCAGCTTCCTGTGAGTGTTAAACTCTCTATAAAATCACGCAAGCTATATTTAATAGTCAATATATGCCTGGACTTTTGCTTCAATACAAGCATGCTCATAAAGCTTAGTTCATATATTTGAGCATGTGCTCTAAGATGAAGGCAGAGGAATAGTTCTGTATATATCTGAAATATTATATCATATAATTCAGTATTTTTAGCATTATTTTAAGAACAGATGTAGATATACAGAAACACGTTTCTAATTTTGGCCCTTGTGAGCCTTTACTGGTGCCTAATTGAACAAAATGTATTTGCGTAGCAATGTAGTGCTCTGCATTTGATTAATAGGTGTCCACGTGCACACCGTGAGTTATGTATGTAAAAAACATTATTACATGAGGCTTCAGATAATATGTTTACATATATCTGATCTGCTCTACACGGCTTTTCTTTTAGAGCCTTGGGATCTGATACAGGAGGCTCTACACGAAACCCTGGTTCTCTCTGTGGGGTTGTGGCTCTGAAACCCACTTACGGCCTGCTCTCTCGTCACGGACTCATCCCTCTGGTCAACTCAATGGATGTGCCAGGAATCATGACTAGGAGTGTCCATGATGCTGCCACTGTCTTGAGTATGACATCTGCTTGAGTGTGAGATTAACATTTGAGGATCACTGATTTAAATCTGTACTTTATGTTTTCGGGTGGTTCTGTTTTTCAGGGATTCTGCAGGGCCCAGATGAGAGAGACTCAACAACTGTCCAGGCACCCAGCACCCCACCTAGCCTTCCTGAACACTTTGACATTAGAGACATATGTGTTGGTATACCAAAGGTAAAGCTGCGTTCAGACCATCCACTGGGACTGCTCAGTGTGGCTAACAGTAGAAGGGTGTAGGCTGGTAACGCAATGATTCAAACAAGCATTGTTTTAAAGCTGGACAAATTATCTTACCATATGTCCAAAATTGTATGTTTAGATAATGAAAGTGAACATCCATTTTATGTCAATATAAAAATATAATAATTATTGAGATTAAATCTTGACTTAAATATAGCTATTATTTAATTAAGAAATATTAATATTTATTACATTGATTATTTTTAAATAATTGTTTAAAAATATTTTGCTTGAAGAAAGTTAAAGCCTATTTTATTTTGCCTTTGTAGCATATTATAATGTGAAAGCATATAATTCTTGTTACTATAACGTGAAAAAATGCCTAAATTACATAAGTAAATTGCAATATATATATATATATATATATATATATATTATATCATGGTAATAATTATATCTCAATTTAATTCATGCTGCATGGATTACTGTAATTATGTAATGAAATTGACATTACTGTATACTATTTTTTATTTATTTTTATAGTAAGGAGAATTTGAGGCACAATAATGTGACAAAAAATAATAATGTCATTAAAATAGACTTCCTTTTTTCAGATTTTTGGGTGAAATAGGACCCATACATTTCATTATAAGATTGTAAGATTAACCTATGTTTGTATGATATTGTAATAGAGTTTCTATGATTTTAGGAATATCACGCCCCGGGCCTGTCTACAGACACTCTGGCCCAGTGGAGTCGAGTTGCAGCCATGTTTGAGCAGGCAGGGGCGCGGGTACAGGAAGTATCTCTGCCACACACACAGCACTCTATTGTCTGTTACCACGTCCTGTGTTGCTGTGAGGTTGCATCCAACATGGCACGTTTTGATGGGCTTGAATACGGTACATAAAGCTTAAACATGTCTAAAACATGTCTTAAACATGTCACATAACACATGATGCACATATATGCAAACATGATGGATTTAAAATGTCGGGGTTATTTTAAAGCTACAATTACAAAATAAAAGTTTAACATCTCCATTTGAATTTTGAAAAGTGCTGTTTCTAAAAATGTCCCTTTTTGTCCTCAGGCCATTGTAGTACAGTCGACAGCTCCACAGATGCCATGTACACCACCACACGACATGAAGGCTTCAACAATGTGGTTCGCAGAAGAATTCTGTCAGGAAACTACTTCCTACTGAAATCGTGAGAGCCTCAAAAATAGGCTTTGTAGTCTGCTCACACGCAATCTTACTTTAAAGATGTACAAAACTTGGTAAATTGTGTTGTAAGTAGGGATGTGCCGATACGAGTATAGGTACCGAACGGTTCACGGGGCAAATTCCAAGTGGAAGTGATCATCCCTATCCCCTTGGAGTGGGGACTTTGGAGTGAGCAGGGCACGTATGTGCCATTATGTAGTCGTTTGAAATGCACTTGGCAAAGTAATTTCCTCATTATCTTCAGCTGACATGTTCCCGTGACAATGCAGCACGGTGTCCGTAAGCAGATGTTTTACTGTCATAAATGTCTTTTTATTGTTGTTAGCATAACTGTTGCAAATAAACATACATTTTATATTTTAAAAAGTTTTTAAAATATGCTATATAATATATAAAACTAATATATATAAAACTTTTTAAAATATAAAATATATATTTGTTACTAACGGTTCTTTCACCTAACCGAATCTGCTGATGGACACCGTGGAGATGATCACTTCCATTTGGAATTCGCCCCGTGAACCGTTCGGTACCGATACTCGTATCGGCACATCCCTAGTTGTAAGTAACTTACGCTTGCTTACCCCTAAGCTCTGACCACTTCTATCAACAAAACTTTTACAGTTAGACAACTGTTCAAAAGTTTGGGGTCAGTAAGATTTGATGATAACACTTTACAATAAGTTCTGTTTCATTCCTACTGACCGTCAGAGGCAGTGTAAACACTATGGATTATCGCAGCGCCAGCTAGATAGGTCGAGAGAATATACCAACAAAGTCACGTAGTGACGTATGCTGAGCCCTGGGGGGTTATAAGCCACCGT